TGAGTGTAACCCCAGGTTTGGACATGTATGGTGATTTCAGAGCTCATACTTGCATTCATATGGAATACTAGTACTCGTATTCATATGGTGATTGCAAACATATTAGTACTTGTATTCAATGAAGATTGCAATCCACCATGCACGTTTTCATATAGATATTGCAAACTACCAAACTTGCATTCATGTGGAGATCACAAACCATCTAACTTGTTTTCATATGGAGATTGTAAACCACAAACTTGTATTCATAGACTGCAAACCACATACATACATACATATAGAGTTCACAATCCATGCATGTTTTCATACGGTGATTGCAAACCACCATACTTGCATACATATGGAGATTGCAGTCCACCATACTTGCATACATATGGAGAATGCAAACCACCATACTTGCACACATATGGTGATTGCAATCCACCATACTTGCATACATATGGTGATTGCAATCCACCATACTTGCATACATATGGTGACTGCAATCCACCATACTTGCATACATATGGTGATTGCAGTCCACCATACTTGCATACATATGGAGACTGCAATCCACCATACTTGCATACATATGGAAATTGCAATCCACCATACTTGCATACATATGGTGATTGCAGTCCACCATACTTGCATACATATGGTGATTGCAGTCCACCATACTTGCATACATATGGAGATTACAAACCACCATACTTGCATACATATGGAGATTGCAGTCCACCATACTTGCATACATATGGTGATTGCAGTCCACCATACTTGCATACATATGGTGATTGCAGTCCACCATACTTGCATACATATGGAGATTACAAACCACCATACTTGCATACATATGAAGATTGCAATCCACAATGCACGTTTTCATATAGATATTGCAAACAACCAAACTTGCATTCATGTGGAGATCACAAACCACCTAACTTGTTTTCATATGGAGATTGTAAACCACAAACTTGTATTCACATGAATACATTGTAAACCACACACTTGTATTCATATGGATATTGTAAACCACACTTGTATTCATATGGATATTGTAAGCCA